ACTGTCCTTGAGCTTTTTTTGTTCAAGGGTAACATTCTACCATTTGAGCCATAGCTCCACTTCTGGCTTTTTGTGGTTAATTGAAGAGTCTCATGGATATTCCTATCTGGGCTGGCTTTGAACCTCAATCCTCAGGTCTCAGCCCCTGAGTAGCTAGGATTACAGGCATGAGCTACTTAGACATTGTTTTTTGTTTGTTTGTTTGTTTTTTTGGTCAGTTGTGGAGCTTAAACTCTGGGCTTGGGCACTGTCCCTTAGCCCTTCAGCTCAAGGCGAGCACTCTACCACTTGAGCCACAGTGCCACTTCCAGTTTTCTGGTGGTTTATTGGAGATAAGAGTCTCATAGGTATTCCTTCCTGGGCTGACTTTGAACCAGGATCCTCAGATCTCAGCCTCCTGAGTAGCTAGGATTACAAGTGTGAGCTACCGGTGCACGGTTCACTAGACAGTCTTTATACATGTTTTCTTGGCAGAACGAAAGGGAGTGTCTCTGATCAAATTTCCTTTTCACTCAGTTATTTGGTCCATTCAAAAGTCATTATATGTTGACAGACATTCCAAACACCTATTTATTTGTATCAAGAGCTAGATGTTTGTGTTTGATGTTAGAACTGGAAAAAACTTGCTCCCCAAATCTAGAGTGAAGCATTGAGCCATGACCTCTTGTCTTTGGAGTGCTTACAGTTTCGTTAAGAGGTTTAGAATACTTATACCTATGAAGCAACTAACCAGTTAGTTAGAATGCTTTAGGTACAGTTGTCTTGGGGGGGTGAGAATGTCCTTGGAGACCAAACCCAGGGCCTGAGCGGTGTGCGAGGAATGTGCTGTGCTCTCCTTCTCCTTGGTATTCAGGTGTCCAGAGTGTCCTTAGTACTTTTCTCTAACTTGTAAAGAAGAGGTGTTTACTCCAGCTTAAGAACTTCAAAGGAGGAAGGCAAGTATATGGAAGGGAGGATAAAGACTGGTCCATGCTAATGTTGTCTTTTCCTGGTGCTCTCCAGGAGCTTCGTGCAGACAGAACCGGAGGTGCTACCCACTTCCTGTAGGCCCCGGGTAGGCTGAGGAGCTGGGGGCTGAGTTCTCACTCTTGCCTCCGCCCCTGGAGCTTTAGGAACGAGTTCTGTGGATGCCTGGGCAGTGGAGTGAACACTCTTGGTGCTATGTAACACTGTGCTCTGAACAAGGACCGCTATGATGAAGCCCTTTCTTAGTTCCCAGATGGGTGGTTCCCAGCTTGTTCTCCTAAAACTAGTGATCAGGGGAAGCTGTGAGGCAGAGGCTTCTAAAATAGACAAAGTGTAACCGTCCCAAGAGCGCATCTCTCTTCTTTCCACTCCACGTGTGAGTGCCATGGGTCAGATCACCCATTCCCGCATCCAGCCTCCACAATCCCAGTGTTTGAGATCCTAGAGGTACAGCTCCTATCAAGACTTTCATCTTTGTCATCCTGTTACCACACTGTTGCTCACATCAGCATGTGAGACTCACCTGTCCTGTTCCACGAACTTGGCGTGATGTCCCATCCAAGATGTCAGGCCTCCCCTCACCCTCCCATGCCAAATACAGGACCATCCCTAATAGATTTAACAACGGTGTGCTTGTCCTTGCAGCTCCTCCACAGGCCATTCCTTTCCCCTTTTCCCCCTGGAATAGAGAATGCTTCTTTTCTATAGACTGTGGATTTTGAAGGCTGGTCTTGGGATTTAGCTTCTCAGGGCTGCTTCATAGCTATGATTCCCTGCCCTCCACCCGCCCCCCCCCCCCCCCACTAGAATATTATTTTCTAATGAACATTTATGCCATCTAGTGATTTGGTGCTTCAGCATTTTCATTTAGTGACCATCTGGTCATCTTTCCGTATTACCAGTGTTTTCTGCTCTACCTTGAGTTTTACCCGCTTTGTTTGTTTGCTTGGTCTTGAACTCAGGGTCTGAGCTTTCATGCTTGAGGCTAGTGCTCTACCAATTGAGCCACAGCTCTACTGCAGTCTGTTTTTTTTGTTGTTAATTGGAGATTAGAGTCTCATGGACTTTCCTGCCCAGGCTGGCTTTGAACTGCAATCCTCAGATCTCAGCTTCTTGAGTTGATAGGATTATAGGTATGAGCCACCAGCACCCATCCAAGTTTTGCCTCTCGAACAGCTATTTGGACTACCTGTCCAGCCCTGGCCAAGTTTTCCTGTTCCCTCTGCTAAGATCCCACCTCTTCTGTTCAGTGCTGAAGACCAACTCAACTCCTGTCCTTGGAAAAGTCTTAGTTGCTCATTCTTTTATTCCCTGCGTTTGTTCTGACTCTTGGTGCCTCTGTGTTTTCCAGGTGGGCCTGTCCTCCTCCAACCTCAGCCAGTGCCTGAGAGCCCTGGGGTCTCTCTATCCTTCCTCCACTTCTGCTTGGGAGTGTCCCAATCTGAGATATCAGCAGACATCCCTTTCTCTACCCCTGCACTGTGTCTTTCAGAGAAAACAATCAAGACCTTGTTTGCTTGGTTTGATAAATCTATATCGAGGGTTCAACTTCACATGAAGCAGCTTAATAAGGAGAACAAATGAGAACAGCAGCCCTTTGCACCCACATTTGAAAGTCACCATCCCTAGCATCCTTCTTTCACTGCCCAGTGAAGGAAAGACAAGCTAGAATTACTACGACAGATCTTAGCTGTCTCAGACAAAAACCGGTTATTGCTATCTTAGACAAAAAATGGGGGCAGATTGATTGGAGGGATTATGAGAAGAAAAGAGATAACAGATGTCCAGAAATAAATCCCTCACTGTAAGTGTGATTGGTAAGCTCACAGATCTGTGGCATGTGGGAAGAGCAGTCCCAGCTTCCACCTTGTCATCTGATCTGACACCTGGAATCATCTCAGAACAGATTGTATGTTATAATTAAAAAACAGAAAACATTCTGTGTGGATCTGCGGGGCCATATTGCCTGTCCTGTCACAATTGGAGTTTCTGTCACAGTTGATTCAAACACACTACAAATAATTACTTTTGACTTCTTTTTTAAGGCAGCATAAGTGGCTGAGTTCTACATGCAGTGTAGGAAATATGGATTCCGTGTGGATAATGTTAACAATTCTTAGCCAACTCTCATTTCTCAGCCAACCCTCATGGCTTGTTATCATTTTATGGTTTTCATATTTAATTTTCTGCCCTTGATAGAAGCACAGGGAAATTGAACCACCACTGTGTGTGTGTGTGTGTGTGTGTGTGTGTGTGTGTGTGTGTGTGTGTGTGTATGTGTGCATGCTGGTACTGGTACTGGGGCTGGAACTCTGGGCTTCACATAGCTTTTTCTCTCAAAGCTTGTTCTCTACTGGAGCCATACCTGTACTTCTGGGATTCACTAGGGAATTAGAGTATCTTGAATTTGTCTGTCCTGGCTAGCTTCAAACCTTAGTCCTCAAATCTCAGCCTCCTGAGTAGCTAGAATTACAGGTGTGAGCTACCAGTGCCTGGCAAAATTAAACTACTCTTACTTCAACTGCTTAAGTTCTGACTGGGTATGGTGGAGCAGAACATACAAAGTCTCACTTTATTCATGCACATTCTCATTACTTACTCTCTGAATGGTAATGTTGCTTTCCTTTCTGTCCTTTGTTTTTGTTTTTGAGGCTAGGGATTGAACCTAGGACCATGCACATACCAACTACTTGCTGTACAGATTCTTTCCTTATTTTAAGACAAAGAGAAATTTTAAAAAAAAACTGTAGAAGAAATTTCATGCCTAGATTGAAACTTGCTTTATTGTGCCAACCTGACATGCAAGAGAGCCTCTGCGCCAGAGCTTTCCAAAGTACCCGTGGTGCCAGATCGATCCAGCCTTTCTCCTGATGTCAAGGGAAGCTGTGCATGACAGACTTCTACAAGAATAGATCGCTAACTGGATAGCCCTGTTACACAAACTCGATTTTGAGATGTTAAGCGTCCCGGGGAGGCAGGAGGAAGCATTAATAATTTCTCAGCCTGTTCTCACGACTTAATTGATAACTTTGCTGATACCTGTCAATTTCGTGTTCCTCCTGTGTGTCAAGCATTTGGTGAAGTGAACTGTAATTGATTTCTCATTCCCTCTTCACAAAGACCCTGGGAGGTCAAGAGGAGAGAGGGGGGATAAATAGAGGTATAGATGGAGAGATGAAGGGTAGACACATACAGTTACAATATTCAATGTGTATATGTGTACATGGAACTAGATAACCTGAGGAGCTGGGTAGGGTTGGGAGAGATGGGGAAGAATGATGGAAGGGGTGACATTGATCACAGTGCATGGTTCTCATAAATTGATACCTTGAATCGAAATCTGTACCACAACTTAGAGATAAGGAAAAATCTCTAGGAGGAAAGTATTGACAGCCTACTGCCATACAGATGAACAACTGAGACCCCAAGCAATTTGCCTGAGTCCATGTCAATAGTCAATGGCCACTGTAGAATTGCAATTCAGAACTGTCACCAACCTTGCAATTGTTACCTCTGTCTACATTGTCTTCCTCCAGGGAGCTCCAAGTCTAGCTGCATAAACTGTTCTTGGCAAAGCCATTGGTAAGATGAGACCTTTAAAGTTCTAGAATGTCCTGTGCTGCAAACCTTGGGCCTTGTGTCTCATTCATAGATCCTTGAAGCTGAGCTCTTTTGGGCAAGAGCCAGGCTCTGACTCTAGAGGGTTCCTAAAATGTGGCAGGTTTTGCAGATGTGCCAGGATGGCGATGGGGTGGTGGGGGGGGTGTGAGGGTGTCCTTTGCTGCCTGTTTTCTGCACTTCTGGTCTCATAAAGGAGACTGAGAATCAGACCTAAAGTATAAAGGCCCCATTATCTCAAATAGTCACGGATAGACCAGACTTACAAATGGTAACAGTAGAATAGAAAATGTCGGCCTTCTCCTGGTGGGTGCTCAGCTAGAACTGAGTTTACACCCCCATCCTCAACATTTGTAGAGTTTGATGAAGCCCCATCCCAACGAATTAATAATCCTTTTGTCTTTTTCTTGTTACAGGAGGACACCGAGGCCCCTGTGACCATTCCCTAAAATACTTAAGCTCAAAAATCACAGAGCAAAAGCTGCAGGGCACGTGGCTGCCTGCTGGCCGGGGGAATCTAGAGAAACCGTTCGTAGGCCCGCGTGGCTCCGTCCTGCCCATGTTCAGCCCTCAGAATGGCCTTCATTTGGGTCCCGTTGAACACAGCCCGCTGAAGCCCCGGGTGGTGACGGTGGTGAAGCTGGGCGCGCAGCCTCTCCGGAAGGTCACTCTGCTCCTCAATCGGCGGTCGGTGCAGACGTTTGAGCAGCTCTTAGCCGACATCTCAGAAGCCCTGGGTTTCCCAAGATGGAAGCATGATCGCGTGAGGAAACTGTTTAACCTGAAGGGCAGGGAAATCAGGAGTGTCTCAGATTTTTTCCGGGAAGGAGATGCTTTCATAGCCATGGGCAAAGAGCCACTGACGTTGAAGAGTATTCAGCTGGCCATCGAGGAACTGTATCCTAACAAAAACCGGGCCCTGACGTTGACCCAGCACAGCCGACTGCCTTCCCCAAGGCTGAGAAGCAGACTTCATAGCAAGCTACTGAGAGGAGGCCATCACTGCGGGGAGCCTGAGAGTGGTGGGGAGGCGGCTGGGGGCAAGGTGACCACCAGGCTCCCAGGGAAGGCTTCTGGGGAGCCAGTGCTGGAGGACAAAGCCAGGGCCCAGAAGCGATGGGTGAGGGGGAAGCCGGACCTGGAAGCTGGAGGCAAGCCACCTAGGGAAACCCCTCTGGAGGAGAGGCATGCCAGTGGAGAGAAGCACTTAGGGGTGGAGATTGAAAAGACCTCTGGGGAGATCATCAGGTGTGAGAAGTGCCAGAGAGAGAGGGAGCTGCAGAAGGACCTGCAGCGGGAGAGGCGCTTGCTGGGCACCAGCGAGCTGGACCTGGGAAAGGGCCATAAGTATGACTTGGATAAACTGGTTAGGACCAGAAGCTGCAGGAGGTCCCTGGAGACAAACTCCATCGACGGGGAGGAAGGGCGGAAGGGTGACAGTCATGGAAACAGTGCCAAGAATCCCACCCAAGAGCTTCGGGGAGCCAGCAAGCACACGGACAAGAAAGAGGACAGAGATCCAGAAGGACAGGAAAGCCAGGGAGCAGCCAAAGCCAAGAAGGACCTCGTGGAAGTTCCACCAGTCACAGAGGAAGGGGCAAGGGACCTGAAGAAAGACACAGGGCACTCTTGTAGGAACAAGCAAGACGTCTGGCTCCTAAGAGAGCAGCAGGCTAAGCCTGAGCAGCTGTCCAGGACCCAAGGGGAAGAAAAGGAGGCAGAGAAGGAAAAGAAGCCAGGCATATCAGGAGGGAAAAAGATGGTTCTCAGAGACAACCCAGCTGCCAAGGTAGAGAAGGAGCCCAAGACAAGACCAGAAGACATCAAGCCAGAGCGGCCCAATGGCCGGAAGCTAAGGCCTATGGGTATCATTGCAGCCAATGTGGAGAAGTATTATGACACTGGCCGGGTCATTGGGGATGGGAACTTCGCCATTGTGAAAGAGTGCAGACACCGGGAGACCAGGCAGGCACACGCCATGAAGATCATTGACAAGGCCAAGCTCAAGGGCAAGGAGGACATAGTGGACAGTGAGATCTTAATCATGCAGAGCCTCTCTCACCCCAACATAGTGAAATTGCACGAGGTGTATGAGACGCAAACGGAAATCTACCTGATCATGGAGTACGTGCAGGGAGGGGACCTTTTCGATGCCATCATAGAGAGTGTGAAGTTCCCAGAGCCCGAGGCCGCCCTCATGTTCAAGGACTTGTGCAAGGCCCTCGTCCACATGCACGACAAGAACATTGTCCACCGGGACCTGAAGCCAGAGAATCTCTTGGTAAGCCCTGATCTGTACTGCTTCCAGAGGGTATTTAAAAAAACGTGAGATAACATAAATACACTGTGAGCTTTACATGCTAGCGTATTACCTGTGTGTGTGTGTGTGTGTGTGTGTGTGTGTGTGTGTGTGTGTGATAGGTGTGCCAGTACTGGGGCTTGAACTCAGGAGGCCTGAGCTCTCTGTCCCTTAGCTTTTTCGCCCAAGGCTGGTGCTCTATCTCTTGAGCCACACCTTAACTTCCAGATTTTTGCTGGTTCATTAGGAGACAAGACTGACATGGAATTTCCTGCCTGGGCTAGTTTCAAACCATGACACTCACATCTCAGCCTCCCTTTGTAATAATGTCAGAATGAAGATAAAAGCTGAATTATAAGGCACCCCAACACAGAACTGCTCCTGCTTTCTAATGTGATGAACCCATAGCAAACCCCTGCTTTCTTGAGTTTCCCCAGTAACTAAGATACCTCTATCTACCTTGTGCCCTGTTTCGTGGTGCTGGAGATGGAATCTTGTGCATGCTAGGCAAATGCTCTAGTCTTGAGCTACATCCCAAGCTCCAGCCCAACTCGTACAGGGTCCTTTGGACACTGTCTTCCTTAGATGCCATTTTCCACAAAAGTGCGTTCTCTCTCTTGCTGCAAGGAGTCCATGAGCCTGAGCTGGTTGGATACGAGAGCACCACCTGGTGGTGTCTGTCCGCAGGTCTTCCTTAAATGCCAAATCCTAAGAGTGGTGTTTTCTCACTTGTTGCAGTCCATGAACCTGATCTGCGTTGTTACGAGAGCGCCACCTGTTGTTCTTTGTCAGCACTGCAGTCCTCAGGCTGTCAACGTCTGGCTTCTTTGTCCCTGTTTCTTCTTCATCCGGCCACCATTTTAATATTTTCTTTCTACATTCTACATTTCCTTTTCCGTCTTCTTTCACTTACTAGAAAGAGCTCCGTGACACCAAGGACTGTTCTATTCGGACAATTCCCTGAAATGTAGAACATTTTACTTTTTAAAATAGACATTTCATGACCATGATTGGGTGAAGGAAGAGACCATAGCAGGTTACCTGGATGATAGCTACTACCATTGTTCTCACATTCAAATGATTCTGATAATGGAGTGGTTAGCCCAAGTAAGCATTCAAAGCCAGACTGCTACAGGCGAAGCCATGATTTCCACAATCCACGTTTTAGGAGGAGGGAGTTAAGGGATTTCATTTGCTCCCTGGCATTTGCATGAGCACAGACCCAGGCTATAAACTCCGCCCAATGCAGTCACCTGTGTAAAAACTGCTCCCACAGGCAGAGGAAAACATGGAGCAAGTCAGACTGATTATCTAGCCAAATGAAGTCTGTGTGACCACAGAGTCAAGCAACCTTGTTTTTGTCTAATTTCATACAATTGCAGAGATCATTTGGTTGATTGCCTCTGTGTGTGTGTGTGTGTGTGTGTGTGTGTGTGTGTGTGTGGTCTAAATGATCCTCAAACAATTCTCTCTTTGTGAAATTTCATTTCTGCAATAGCTGATATCCTTGGGCTTTCTCCACTCAGATTTTCCTAGTTTCCTATGCTTTTGGGTGTGAGCTCCGAGAGTCTCCCATGGACGCTACTCTGTGCACTGTTGATTATGAACACTTCGGAATTGCCACAGCATGGTGTTCTTTTAATGACTCTCTGGGGGGTATTTTACTGAATTCTTGAAGCAGGAGAGCTTCTGATTAGGGGCGTGAATAGGTCCCCTGAGTTTACGCCCTATAGAACTGTTTTCTTGTGTCACAGTGAGCTTAGAGTCTATCTTCCTGGAAACAGTCTGTTGCTCAGCTCATTTCTTGGGCAAGAGAACCTCTCAGTCAGGTAAAAGGATTCACTTGTCAGTGATTTTTTTTTTTAAATTGAGTCTCAACACCTGTCAGAATGCTGAGAATTGGTGGAGATGTTTACCCAAGGGAGGAGAAGGAATATGACAAATGGAGAATCATTAGCTGATGGTCTCTGAACAGCTGGCTGGCATTCCTTCATGGATGCTAATGCTGATGTTCACTTGCTTTTAGTGTAAGAGAAATCTCTGTGTGTGTATGTGTTGCTTTGGGGCAGTGAAGTGTGTGTGTGTGTGTGTGTGTGTGTGTGTGTGTGTGTAAGAGAGAGAGAGAGGAGAGTGATAAAACTGAGTACTTACAGCTTTTTTCAGCTCAAATACACGAGTTGTTATTTATTAGTATGGATCCTAATAATAATTACACATTTTCCTCTTTTTTGACTTTGAAGGGAGTCCCTTCTTTTTCCCTCCAAATAAATGTGTGTGTGGGACAGTTAACTTCCTCAGATCTGCAGAAAGCTACTGCTATGAGCCATCTTGGCGGAACAGGTTAATGTGTTTGCTGTTCTGTGGGTCATTTCTCAGCTTGCATCTATTGGGGTGGCCAGGTGTGTCACACTCATAAAACATACGGCCTTTCTCTGGGTGAGTAAGATTCATCATGTGGTTATGTCAGAAGTCTAATTGTTATTTAATGCCAGCCCTTTCTGGTTTTTCAGATAGAGATGAAAGAGAGTGGTTCTGACAACTGGCTAATTGGGCTTTGGAAGATGTCTGCTAAAACTTGCTGACATCATGATCTCATTGCATTTTTTTGTATTCTAAGATACAATATTAATAAAGGAAGTCCTGGTGACTACTCATCAATAAATGTTCTTCAGTTGTTTTAAACACTGGCAAGGGAATGAATCCTTCCTTTCTTGGCTGGCTGCTAGGGTATTTATTTATTTTTGGTGCTGACATGAGGGCTTGAACTGAGAGCCTAAATGCTAGGCTTTATAGGCCTAGCTTTATAGCTCAAAACTGCCATTCTTCCACTTGAGCCACACAGCTCCACTTCTGGCTTTTTGGTGGTTAATTGGAGGTAAGAGTCTCATGGGCTTTCTTGCCTGGGCTGGTTTTGAACCACGATCCTCAAATCTCAGCTTCTTGAGTAGCTAGGATTATAGGTGTGAGCTGCCAGGGGCTGGCAGCTGCTAGGTTATTATGACCTTTCTTTGCCAGGCACAGGGAAGTGATTATGTTAGAATTAATTTGTGCTCACATGGCTGATTGTAACATGTTGCATTTTGAGACTTTCTGAACATGGCAAGAACATTTGATGAATATAGCTCGCTTATCATGTTGTTTTAATCAACAGAAATATTTATATCTGATAATTAGGCCCTAGAGATAAAATTTCAGGCCTACTTTACCAGTTGCCAGGTTCACGTGTTTCTTCCGATCACAGCTTTTGGTAAGATGCTAGTGTTCATCTTCCCTCAGGGCTGTGTGGACTCCTGAGATCTTGCAAAAGGAGTTTTAATTATGAGATTTTTTCCAGCTTGCAGAAATACCCATGTTAATTACTTCTTCTGCCAGCATGTGGTTCCCTGGAGGGGCTGGAATATGCTGGGTGGTATAGGCTGGGCCCTGGGGTTGGAGAGGAGGAAGCAAGAGAAGAGATGATAATCAGAAAAGCTCACTAGGATGGGGAAGGGGAGAGATAGGGGTGGGGGGAGAGGGAGAGACTGTAAGAAACCATAGAAATGGTGCAGTAGCTGAAAGGTAGGTGTAGGGAAAGTGAGGGCTATGCTTTTCTATGGACTGGGAATTCTGGGAGAAGAGCAGGGTTAGAGAGTGAGTTTTCAGCATCTAAAGTTTGAGATTCTCATCCCATCAGATGACAAATGATGTCATGTGTGCTGTGAAATCTGAAGTTATCAGACCTGACCCAGGAAACTTATGGCTCAGTGTCCATTCTATAACCAGTGGGATGGCCACTGTGGAACCAGAGATGAGTTAAACAGAGACCGCAGCGTAGTGACTTCTACGCTCACAGCTGCCAGACTTCATGCCATGTTCAGAATAAAAGCCAGGATCACTTATATGACCTAAAAGCACCCATATGGCTGGACTTCAGTAATCCTGAGGAGGCAAAGATCTGAGGATCAAGGTTCAAAGCTAGCTGAAGCAAAAACTCTGTGCAACTCTTTTATTATTACTTTTTGCTGGTCTTGGAGCTAGAACTCAGGGCCTAGGCACTGTCTCTGAGCCTCTCTGTGCTCAAAACTGGCACTCTACCACCTGAGCCACAGTGCCACTTTCTGGCTCTTATTGGAGATAAGAGTTTCATGTACTTTCCTGCCAGGGATGGCTTTGAGTTGCAATCCTCAGATCTCAGCCTCCTGAGTAGCTCGGATTATAGGTGTGAGCCACTGGCACCCAGCTCTGTGTGACTCTTATCTCCAGTTAACCAACAAAAAACTGGAAGTGGAGCTCTGGCCCAAATGGTAGAGCGTCAGCCTTAAGCAACAAAAGCTCCAAAAGCTCTAAAGTAAATATATAAAAATAAAGCTCCTACATGTTGTGTTTTTGGTCTCCTTCTCAAAGCTTCTCTTGAACTGCTTATGTTCTTACTCTGTTCCTGTCCCAGATTACTGTTCCTACATTGTACCACACAGACCTCTAAGCCTTTGCTCCTCACATTTTTTTTTTTTTGATTGTGGGGCTTGAACTCAGAGCCTGGGTACTGACCCTGAGCTCTTTTGCTCAAGGTTAGCATTCTATTACTTTGAGCCACAGCTCCACTTCCAGGTTTTGAATGGTTAATTACAGATAAGAATCTTACAGGAACTTTGCTGCCCAGACTGGCTTTGAACCAGCATCCCCAGATCTCAGCCTCCTGAGTAGCTAGGATTACAGGCATGCAGCTCATCAGATCTTAATCTAGTTCACTCTAATTCCTTTCAAATGTTTCTTTATCAGCCCTTCCTTAACTACCTTGTGTAAAATAGCAAATTCTGCCACTGTCTGTGCCAGTATGTCCAGAAGGACTTCCTCTGAGGATGGAGATATCCTGTATATATTTCATGCAATTGCCAAAACGCAGCTGGGTGTGCTCTTAAAATGTACTCTGGGGGTCAAAGGGACTGAACCTTTAATGTTACCCAAAAGCACATGGTCATGCTGGGTCTTCTACTTCTGGTATT